TATATTATATATAATATATATTATATAATATATAATATTATATATATTATATAATATATAATATTATATATTATTATATTATTAACTATTATAATAATAACCCCGCCCCCTCGCACTCTAACTCGGCTTACCACCACCGGTGTATCCTAATTTGGTGGTAAGAAACCTCAGCTTCAGGGCCAAGTCTTGCCTCTAATATTCCAAGACCGGCCCCCAGAAATTCTACAACCAAGAGCCTCACCCCGGAGGCCCCGAACTCCCCAGGATGCATTTCCTTCACTTTCCCGATTCCGTTACCGGAACCTGGCAGCTCTAATCCTGACTGCTCTCCGACACCAGTTCGGGGATCCTACTAACTAAACCCCTTCCCGTTCTAACTCCACCCACCTCAGTCTGTCAGAATGAGAGCAGGCCTCTCCATGCTTGCTAATCCCTCCTTCTCGGCCCCGCCCCCTGGGAGTGCACCTCCGCCCCCTCGGAGTCCACCCCGCCCGGCGCGCCCGCACCTGGAAAATGCCGAAGTCCTCCAGCTGGGCATCCTGCCGCAAGCCGTGCTTCCAAGGGATGCGGAAGCGCGTGCGGCTCTCATCCAGCCAGGCCACGCCCTCCAACTGCCCCTGGTCCAGCTGAGATACCAGCCAGGGCAGGATGCGAGGCTTTTGTGTTCCCATGGTCCGGCCTGCGCGCAGAGAACAGGTCCTAGGTACAGGCGGCCTCCCAGGCCCACCCCGTGCAGGGGTTCCGCACCCAGACCTCCCTCACGTGCCACGGCGCAGGTCTCTCACCTATAGTTTACTGGGGTACAAACAGGAGACCTTCTCCCATCCTCCAGCGAGGCTTTCTAATTCAGCGAGAACTCCCTCCTCTCCTTTCCCCAGCTTCTTCTGTGTAGGTAGATACCTCTACCTCCCTCAATTGCGCCGGTGTACACCTTCCCTCTTCCATTGAAAGCCCGTTCTTCCCCCATCACCCAAGGCAGGTACTCCCACTTCCAGGGTAGAGCCCTCCCTCTAGTTATTGCAATACAGAAGCTAGTGACCTGTAGACCGCTACCTCCCGCAGTTACCCCACGGTAGACCCCCTTTCACAGTTCCACCCCGTCCCGATGATCCCCTCACCCATTCCCACCGAGGACCAACCACAATCCCTCCCAAACAGACAGCCTCCCTCCTCCAGGGCACGTCCCCACTTTCTAGAGTGGACTGCCTCCTATTCTTACAGTCCGTCCATCTCTCCCCTAGATCCCCCAGTGTAGAAGCCTCCTCTCCGCTACTTCTACGTTTGCTTTTTTTACAGCCGATCTCGGCGCCAGTCATTGCTTCACTTTTTTCTTTCTTGCTTCACTTTCCCCCAGTCTACACAACCGCCCTTCTCCACTGTCAGTGTAGACCCATCCTTTCTCCGATTCCTCACCTCCGGACGCCACCTACTCCCCAGTTACCTACGTTTCCTATGTGGTGGGTCGGGGCGCGCAGAGTGCTCCAACCACGTCTGTTTTGGGGGTTTCGTACCTCTCGAACTCTCAGCTGCACACCCCACTTCCGGTCGGCTGAGCTTTAGAGGTGGGGCTTCCTTTTCTATCGATTTCCTGAAATAAAAACGACTTCACAGTCGTATTGGTGACTCCAAAACCAAAGAGGCTGCTCGGTAAGCGCGGGCGTCGCCCCCCAATCCCATGCCCTTTTTAGGCCTTCCGACCGCGGGCATGCTGGGAACGTCACATGCAAATTAGGCGGGACCCAACGCTCCTCCCCTCTATGTTTGGGTCGTCACCAACCCGGCCCAGTGCGCAGGCGCGGGAAAGTTGAACTAAGAAAAGAAAGTTTATACAAGTTCAGTGGAGGAGGTGGCGGCGGCGGGGCCCGGGACCAGGTGAGCGGGACGTTAGCGAGGGCTAGGTGAGGAGGAAAGAAGAGGGAGCCGGGATCCAGGAGGGGGCAACTCAGTCCCGCTTCTCCGACATCCGAGTGTCCTAGCTCTCCCAAACGCTAGCCTCAGAGAATGGAACTACACCTCCCAGCAGGCTGCGAGGCGAACCAGTAACGGAGGGAGGGGAATGTTTGCTATGAAACCTGCTGGGATTGGTAGTTCTCGACCCTCTACGGACGTGAGCAGCTTGGCATATACCTTCAGAATCAAGAAGTCCCCAAGCCCCCTTCTCCCTCGGGGACTCAGAAGTCTGAGGGCCCCGCCCCCTTCTCTCTTAGCCTCAAGAGTTCACACCCCCAGCCCCCTTCTCCGAAAACTCAAGAGTCCAGGCCCCCAGCCCCTCCTCCCTTAGACCCAAGAATCCGGATCCCTAGCCTTCTCCTCTCCCAGGATCAAGGTGTCTTCCTTCTCATCCCTCTTCTCCATCTGGAGACTTAAGCGTCTGGGCCCCCAGACCCCCAACTCCCGTAAAGGACCTGGGAATGTAGACCCTCAGCCCCTTCCCTCTTTGGGGACTCACAAGTCCTGGCCCCCTCCTCATTCGGGGACTAGGAATTTGGGTCCCCAGCCTCTACTTCCCGCTGAACCCTGGAGCCCATCCTCCAGCTCCCTCTCTCACAGGTGCCCCCATGGCAGGCTCGGAAGAACTGGGGCTCCGAGAGGACACGCTGAGGGTCCTAGCTGCCTTCCTAAGTAGGGGTGAGGCTGCGGGGTCTCCCATTCCGACCCCACCCAGGTAAGAGGAGTTGCCCTCCTCCCTCAGGGAACGGCATTTGAGCTGGGCCCCTCTCCAACTCTTGCTCCTGGACTCAGTCTGTCTCCTTTCCCCCCCTCTTTATATCTGGCTCCACTCCTTGTCCTGGGGGTTGCAGGGAAAGGCCCTCAGTGGGAGGACAAAGGGACTGCTTGCAAAGGGCCTTTGGGGTCACTCTCTGAGGTCCCCTTCCCCAGGAGCCCTGCCCAAGAGGAGCCAACAGACTTCCTGAGCCGCCTTCGAAGATGTCTTCCCTGCTCCCTGGGGCGAGGAGCAGTTCCCCCTGAGTCCCCTCGGCCTTGCTCCCTGCCCCTCCGGCCATGCTATGGTTCAGAGCCTGGTAAGAGATTTCCCTCGATCACCCAAGAACTGGCAGCTTTGATTCTTAAAGCATAGAGAGGATAAGAAACTAGTTCAGGACCACTCAGCTAAGGGGGTAGCTGTGGGGGATCTCCAGCACCTACCCTCACCCCCGACCCCCAGTTGGTTTACTATCTGTCAGTTCTGTGAGCAGGCTTCAGGAGGGCTTTGGGTGCCTTTCTTTCTTTCTTTCCTTTTTTTTTTTTTTTAACATCTTTATTGGAGTACAATTGCTTTACAATGGTGTGTTAGTTTCTGCTGTATAACAAAGTGAATCAGCTATACATATACATATATCCCCATATCCCCTCCCTCTTGCGTCTCCCTCCCACCCTCCCTCTCCCACCCCTCTAGGTGGACACAAAGCACCGAGCTGATCTCCCTGTGCTATGCGGCTGCTTCCCAATAGCTATCGATTTTACATTTGGTAGTGTGTATATGTCCATGCCACTCTCTCACTTCGTTTTAGTGCCTTTCTATTTGTTATCTCTCTTTCTACACATGCTTCCTTGCCCCTAAGACTTTTGTAGCCACCAGTACCCCCAATAGGGAGGCAGGAAACTTGATTTCCAGTCACAATTCCCTGGCTGTTTTGGTTACATAAGTCCTTTTCTCCAGTAGCAAAGTAGGAATGGGGGGGGGTGGATACTGGACTTGATCAAGAGTGACCAGTAGGTTTCTTCTCATATGTGATACTGGGTAGACAAGCAATGGCTACTGGGAGTGCTCACTTGGAGAGGATTTCACAGCTGGGGAGAAGAGTTCTGTGATGAGTTGTTGCCTGAAATGGGCAAGAGATAGAGTGGTAATAGCTGGAGTGCCATGTGTTTGCCTTCCTTAGATGGGATAATCTTCAAGGTCCAGTTCGGCTCAAACCTTCGAAGTCCAATTTGGGGAAAAGTAAAAGGGTCTTTTACCAAGTTTGCTCACTGGGCCTCAATTTATCCCATTCTGAAATGGAAATCATTGCTACCTGGCAAGATGGTTGGGAGGAGAGAATCCCTAAGTTCCTCATGTCCTGAAGTCCCATCATTGGCTCTTTTCATCCCAGGCCCAGCTACTCCAGATTTCTATGCCCTGGTGGCCCAGCGGCTGGAACAGCTGGTCCAAGAGCAACTGAAATCCCCACCTAGCCCAGGTGAGGTGCAGAAGGGCCCTGGAGAAGGATGAGGGTAGAAGGGTCGCCAGGGTTCTGCCCCCAGCCAAATTCTCTTCTGCCCCCCAGAATTACAGGGTCACGTACCCACAGAGAAGGAAGCCCTGCTGCGAAAGCTAGTGGCCTTGCTGGAGGAAGAGGCAGAAGTCATCAACCAGAAGGTGATGGGTGGTCTGTTCCATCCCTTAGCTAGGATAGGAGTTGCGGCATGGTTCCGCACTGGGACCTGAAGCTGGATCTGCATTCTCATTGGATGGTCAGGTGGGGAGAAGGTGGGACAAGGCTTCAGTGAAGGGGTGAGTGACAGGTAAGCCAGGGCAATACTTTAAATTAGTGACTTCTTTGATCGTCAAAGGGGCGTGGCATGAAGGTAGAGGGGTGTGGCCACCAGAAACTGTTCTAGGAAGGAGATTGGAGGAGGTGAGTCGGTAAGGGAATGTATGGTGATGGGAAAGGGAGGAGGGGGTAGCTTGAAGACAGCTGTCTAAAATCTGAAGCCCTGATTGACTATATAGGGACGTTGCTTAGAACATGGGGGAAATGGACTGCCGGAGGGAGTGTGGCTTGTGACTCTGTCCTGGAATCAGGTTGGGTTAGGAGCTTGGGCAAAGTGTATGGCCTTATAATATTCATTGTCTGGTAGAAGGCAAGGTTGCCGTCACAGGCTTGGCCTTCGGGGAAGCCCACAGGGGCGTGGCTAGAATGTTAGAATGCTAGAACACAGCTAATACAGGGCTTGGTCCTGATTGGCTGTCGAGGCCTTGTCAGGGGCGTGGCTTGGCTTCTCCGGTTCTAGGCCATCTTGCTGTGAGTAGTTTGGCCGAGATCTTATAGTCTCGTTTGTGATTGGCAGATGTGCTGGATGGGGGCGTGGCTTAGGGCGTCAGTTATATCTAGAGCTCTTGAAGCCACGCCTCCCAGCCTCCCATTGGCTGGCTACGAGGGTGTGACTGAGGCAGACCCTGCCTCTTCCTCCCCGCCCTACAGCTGGCCTCAGACCCCGCCCTGCGGCGCAAGCTGGCCCGCCTCTCCGCTGGTTCCTTCAGCCGCCTAGTGGAGCTCTTCTCTAGCCGGGAGGGCAACCCTCGCCCAAGCCAAGCACGCCCCTCGCTGCCGTGCCCCGGGCCCCCACCGCCTTCCCCGGAGCCTCTGGCCCGCCTGGCCCTGGCCATGGAGCTGAGCCGGCGCGTGGCCAGGCTGGGGGGCACCCTGGCCGGTCTCAGCGTAGAGCACGTGCACAGCTTTGCGCCCTGGATCCAGGCCCACGGGGGCTGGGTGAGCCGCTAAAGCCTCTCTGGGCTTCCCTTTACCTAACTGTAATTGTAATTGTATGTGTGTGTATTGGGGGGGAGTGGGCGGGGAGGCTCATAGGCTTCCTTTCAGACATCACGGGTGTTCTCCCAGCTCCACCATTCATCCGTTCTGTGTTTATTGAGCACCTAATGTACACGAGGCACTGTAGTGATCAGTGCAGATGCTATGCCCAGCTTAAACCACTCTGGTATACACTAACACTTATGAGCTAGAAACAAGCTTCTTCATCCGTAAAGGGAGGAGAATTGTACACCTACCTCAAAGGGTTATTGTGAGGATTAAAATGGGATCATCCTTGTAAGTACTTGACATTTATGTGAGTATCTGGTGACTGTCTGCCTGTGCAGCACTGCCTGCGGGAATGCCCTTTGCCTGGTATCCCCGTGCCTTGCTTCCTCTGCCGCTCTGCTCAGGTGTCACTCTCAGCGGGCCCCTCCCTGATCCCCATTTAAAATCGCAGCCACCTCCACACCATCACACCATCCCCTTACCTTGCTTGCTCACTGCTTTAAATCCAGTGCTGGGCTCAGAGCTGGATTAAGCTCCTTTGTACTGGCTGTGTGACCTAGGCAACTGTCCCCGTCTCCCTGAATACCAATCTCACGCCGCTCAATGGGCACCATCTCACTTACCTGCCTCATCACTGCCAGGCTCTCAGAATGTAAGCATTGCTTCATAGACTGGCAGGAGCTGGCTAGGTGCGTTTGAGGAGCAGAGAGACAGCCAGTAGGGCTGGAGCAGTGTGAGTGAGGGGGAGAGGGTGGGAGATGAAAGCAGGAGGGGCGGCCAGATCATGCAAGGCTTTAGGCCTTGTGGTCAGGGTAAGAACTTGCACTTTGACTCAGTGAGCCAGGAGTCCTAGGAGGGCTCAGAGTAGACGGATGCGAGCTGTCTTGGGTGGTCACAGGTGCCCTCTGGCGGCCGTATGGAGAATACTGTAGGGGGCAAAGACCCAAGGGGGTGACTGGGCTGGTCCAGGGAGAAGGTTAGGGTGGATCAGACCAGGGTCGGGGTAGTAGAGAATTCTGGATTTAATTTGGAGGTAGACCTGACAGATTTTGCTCATGGAGTGGATGGGAGACGGGAGTCAAGGATGATGCCAAAGATGCTGGCCTGAGCAGCTGCAGGGCTACATCTGATGTCCTCTGGAACCAGAAAGAGCAGAGTGGAGGCGAAGGTGGGGAGCAGGTTTGGGGAAGAGGCAGAGGTGATTGGAGGTGGTCCAGTTAAGGGAGAGAGACCCCTGAGACCTCAAAGCAACATATGCGGGACAGTCGATATTAGTGTCTGTAGCTCAGAGCAGAAGCTGGTTTATTTGTAAAATCATTTTATTTGTTAAGGAATGATAACAGGTAAGCTTGGCCAGGTACTCAGCCAAGAACTTTAGTGGAATGATCCCATTGAAACCCCACAACAACCTTACGGGATTCGATTATTATCCTGGTTTTATGGAGACTGAGGGAAAGTCCCTTATGCAGGGTGGGGGATTGGAGTTAGGGCTTTAACACAAAGCCAGGGCTCTTTATCATTAAAGCTCCAGGACCCTGTTTGTTCCCCTTCTTTGAGTCTCTGTCCACCCCCTCTGGGGCTCTGTCTCCCCCCGCCCCTTCTAGGACTCTGTTCCCATCCACCCCAAGTCTCTGAGCCTTTCTTGGGGTCTCCATCCCTCATCCCTGTCCACCTCTCTCTGGGTCTCTTTCCCCTCCCCCTCTCTGGTTCCTTGCCTTCCCTGTCTCTGCTCTCACTGGGCTGGTGTGGATGCTGCTGTGAGTGGAGGACGCCTCTCTGCTCATGGGGCTCTGCCACTTTTCCCTTCCAGGGGGGCATCCTGGCAGTTTCACCTGTGGACTTGAACTTACCCCTGGACTGAGCCTTTCCTCAGAAGCTGCTACAAGATTGGACCTCATGTCCCTGCACTCTTTTTCCAAGCCTTCCTATTCCACTCAGGGCTGTGGGGTGGTGCCCACCCTCTCTGTTTTTGCCAAAAAAAAAAAGTTTAAAATGTTTTGACATTAAAAACTTTTTAAAGTATTTAATGATTTGTCCTTTCACTCAAGAACTAAAGTTCTACGTAGAGGAGATTTGGTTTGGAGACCTCTCTGGTTTATAAATTGAGGAAAGAACCAATTCATTCATTCTAGAAATATTTATTTGGGGCACCTAAAGCACCTGTCACCTAAATATACAGCATATTTGAGGATACCTGTAAATATGATTCCAGCTAATTATATTTTTCCCCTATTGCATGATTTATTTATTCCAGCTAATCCTGTGTTGATAGTCCTGGAGTCTTTCTAGCTATTTCCAGAAGAAAGCTATGACCTTTCTTCACAAGACATCCAGAACACCACCTTCTTCTCATTTTTCTCTTCACACAACTCCTTCTGAGCCTTTTTTGCTGGTTTCTCCTCATCTGCCTGTTCGCCAGAAATTTGTCACCTTTTTAGGGCTATCACCTCCTTCACCGAATTATGTTTGTAAATGCCTAAAATGAAACGCACAGGATCACAAAGGAAGCCAATTACAGTCGAGCCTCAGTATTCGCGGATCCTGTATTTTTCGAATTCGCCTACTCGCGAACATTTATTTGCAGTCCACAAACTAATACTCACGTGCTTTCGCAGTTGTTGGCAGGCGTGCTTGTGTTCAGAGCAGCAAAGGATCTGACTCGCTCGATGGGCACCTTTCAGCTCAGATCAGGCGAGGCAACTGCGCCTTCTTGTCTCAGCTCTCACGCTGTATACAAGCGTCCTTTCTGCAATCTATTTAGTGCCACATTTTTCACATTTCTGTGCTTTTTTGTGGTGATTTCTCTGTTTGAAAGAGCCCCAAGCATAGTGCTGGAGTGCTGGCTAGCGTTCCTATAAGTGCACGAAGGCTGCGATGTGCCTCAATTAGACAAGCTTCGTTGTAGATAATTTTTGTTGCACTGCTGTTGGCTGTGAGATCACTGTGAATGGACCAACTCTATATTAAATAACGTGTCTTTAAACAGAAAACACACAGAAAACCTGATTATATGTTGATGGGTTGGCAAAAGTGTTGTGACAAGATGCTCGTGGGAGCTTGACCCTGTATCTCCCCCAGGATCAATGGCTTGGTGTTTGCCAGTTCAGTGTTCACAGCGATGTAAGGATGTAACTAGCACAAATAATAAGATTCGAGTGTATGTGGAAATAAAGCTTTAAAGGATGTAACTAGCACAAATAATAAGATTCGAGTGTATGTGGAAATAAAGCTTTCAAGATTTTTTAAAAAATATTTATTTTATTTGGTTGCGCCGGGTCTGTAGTTGTGGCAGGCGGGCTCCTTAGTTGCGGCACACAGGCCCCTTAGTTGTGGCATGCGAACTCTTAGTTGCGGCATGCATCTGAGATCTCTTTCCCTGACCAGGGATCAAAGCCAGGCCCCTGCATTGGGAGTGCGGCCTCTTAACCACTGCGCCACCAGGGAAGTCCCAAAGCGTTCAAGATTAATATAAAAATTAGTGGCCTAATAATACGCATGCCGGGCTTGGTGGCGCAGTGGTTAAGAGTCCGTCTGCCAATGCAGGGGACACGGGTTTGGGCCCTTGTCTGGGAAGATCCCACATGCCGCGGAGCAACTAAGCCCGTGCGCCACAACTATTGAGCCTGCGCACTAGAGCCTGCGAGCCACAACTACTGAGCCTGTGTGCCACAACTACTGAAGCCTGTGTGCCTAGAGCCCGTGCTCCGCAACAAGAGAAGCTACTGCAATAATAAGCCCACACACCGCAATGAAGACCCAATGCAGCCAAAAATAAATTAAATAAATTAAAAATAAAAAAATAAATAATAGGCATGCCTCCTCATTAACACATTCATTAAAAACACCTAGGGTGGGTCTCATAACCATGATTTCTAAATAGAACAGGAATGACATTTGGAGGCAGATTAGTTATTACCGTAACAAGTCATATACATTTCGTGGCTTATAATAACACACTAATCTCAGTTTCTCTGGGTCAGGGGCACGGGTGCAGCTTAGCGGGGTGCTTGGCTCAGGATGGTCACATGCTGCTATCAAGGTTTCGGCTTCAATCTCATCTGAGGCTCAGGGGCCTCTTCCCAGTGCATGTGGTTTTAGCAGGACAATCTGTGGCCTCACCTGATTAAGTCAGGCCCACCCAGGAAAATCTCCCTTTTGATGAATTTAAAATTAACCAATTTGAGGGACTTCTCGGGTGGTCCAGCGGTTAAGACTCTGCTCTCCCAGTGCAGGGGGCTCAGGTTCGATCCCTGGTCAGGGAACTAGATCCCGAATGCTGCAACCAAGACCCGGCACAGCTAAATAAATAAATAAATTAAAAGAACTAACCAATTTGAAGCCTTAATGTCATCCGAAAACTCCCTTCACCCTTGCCATATAAGGTCACCTAATCAAGGGAGTGACATCCATCTCCTTTGTCATATAACCCAACCTACTCCTTGGTATGTAACACCAGGAGGCAGAGATCATGAGGGCCATCTTAGAATCCTGCTGACCACAGGAGTATCTACAGCAACTGTCATGTGACATGCAAATTTCTGTGATTTATATTGCGGAACCAGGCACAGGAACTAATCCTATTTTGATGTGTTGCCCAAATTCTCAGTTGAAGGAAGGACCGAGTTCCAGTTTAGCGAGAGATGTAAGTTTCTACCATCACAGCTCGTGGACACTTGACTCTCCAGTTTGACTCAGGTCTTCTAGCCACACTTCTTTTTTTTAATTTTATTTTTTTAAATTTTTGGCTGCATTGGGTCTTAGTTGTAGCATGCGGGATCTTCATTGCGGTGCGTGGGCTTCTCTCTAGTTGCAGCGTGTGTGTTTTCTCTCTGTAGGTGTGGCACGCAGGCTCCAGAGAGCGTGGGCTCTGTAGTTTTGTGGCATGTGGACTCTCTAGTTGAGGCGCGCGGGCTTAGTTGCCCCGCAGCATGTGGGATTTTAGTTCCCCAACCAGGGATCGAACCTGCATCCCCTGCATTGGAAGGCAGATTCTTTACCACTGGACTGCCAGGGGAGTCCCTCTAACCACACTTCTAATCACACCAACTCCCCGGTAATCTTGTCCATTCCGTGACCTAGTGCAGCACTGGCCAATAGAAATATAATATGAACCACATGTGTTATTTAGAATACACTAGTAGCCCCATTAAAGCAAAGTAAAAAGTAACAGGTAAATTAATTTTAACAATAATTTTTATTTACCCCATTTATCCAAAATAGAATCATTTCAACATGTAATCAATATAAAAAATATTAATGATATATTATAGATTCTTTTTTTACGTGAAGTCTTCAAAATCTGGTGTGTGTTTTACAGCCGTAGCAAATCTCAGTTGAGACTTGCCCTGGTCCATTGCTCAGTTGTCCCATGTGGCTGCCATCTTGGAAAATGCAGAATTTGACTCTGACGACTCCCCCAGTTTTGCCTCCAGCTCAGACTTCTCCCCTGTACTCTGTACCCAGTGACATTAGGTTATTTCCTAGTGTTGTAGAGAGTTTGTTACAATTTTTTGTTCTTCATAGCAACACAGAGCAAAAGTAATTGGGTTAAAATGCTTGGAAATCAGAAAAAGAAAAAAAAGGTAAAAGGAAACAAACACCCTGCTGAAACATTTGGAGAAATAGAAAAGGAAAAAAAAAAGATCCATGCAACATACAATGTAGGGTCAAGACCTGGGCTCAGATAACCGATTAATTGGAATTCATCAAAACGAAAAACTCTCTGCTTTTCAAAGGCAACGTTAAGAAAATGAAAAGACAGGTCACCGATTGGGAGAAAAATTTAAAGTAGATATACCAGGCTTCCCTGGTGGCACAGTGGTTGGGAATCCGTCTGCCAAGGCAGGGCACACAGGTTCGAGCCCTGGTCCAGGAAGATCCCAAGTTCCGTGGAGCAACTAAGCCCCTGCGCCACAACTGCTGAGCCCACGTGCCTGGAGGCAGTGCTCCGCAAGAAGAGTCCACCGCAGTGAGAGGCCCGCGCACCACAGTGAAGAGTGGCCCCCGCTCGCCACAACTAAAAAGAAAGCCCTCGTGCTGTAGCAACGACCCAAAGCAGCCAAAAATAAGATACATAAATTAAGGGGGAAAAAAAAAGTAGATATACCTGACAGAGACCTGTATCCAGAATCTATAAAGAACGTTTATGATTTGTGAATAAGAAAACAACACTGTTTGTAAAAATACACAAAAGACTTGAGCAGACACTTGACAAAACAAAATATAGAAATGGCCAATAAGCACATGAAACGATGCTGAACAACACCGGCCATCAGGGCAATGCAAGTCACAACCAGGAGATAATCTCTTAATACCTACAAGAGTCATTAAAATTATAGACTGATTTTTTTTTTTTTTTTTCGGTACGCGGGCCTCTCACTGATGCGGCCTCTCCCGTTGCGGAGCACAGGCTCCGGACGCGCAGGCCCAGCGGCCATGGCTCACGGGCCCAGCCACTCCGCGGCATGTGGGATCTTCCTGGACCGGGGCACGAACCCGTGTCCCCTGCATGGGCAGGCGGACTCTCAACCACTGCGCCACCAGGGAAGCCCCTAGACTGATTTTATGACGTGCTGGAGGGGATGTGGAGCACTAGAACTCTCTTGCATCACTGATAGGAATGCAAAATGGTAGAACACCATGGGAAACCTTCGAGCAGTTTCTTACAAACATACACCTAGGGGACTTCCCTGGCGGTCCAGTGGTTTAGACTTGGTGCCTCCACTGCGGGGGCCATGGGTTTGATCCCTAGTCGGGGAAGTAAGATCCTGCATGCCGCATGGCGCAGCCAAAAAACCAAACAAACAAAAACAAAACAAAACAAAAAACCCATACACCTAGCCTATGACCCAGCCATGTGCTCCTAGGTTTACCCAAGGGAAGTGAAAGTGTACGTCTACAGAAGGACCCGGACATGATCGTTCATAGCCACTTTATTCATACCAGACCTATGAAAACCACCCAGATGTCCATCAACAGGAAAATGTGATCCATCCATACAATGGAATACTCCTCAGCAGTAAAAAGGATTGGACAACCATTATATTCGACATGAACGAATCTCAAAAACATTATGGTGAGGGACAGACACAAAAGAGCACATACTGTATAATTCCATTTATACGAAATTTTAGAAACGGAAAAGCTGCACTATAGTGACACAAAACAGAAAGTGATTGCTTCTGGGGTTGGGTGGGGGAGGTGTTGACTAGAAAGAGTCGTGAAGGAACTTTCTGGGTGACGGATACATTCCACAAGTTGCATTTATCTTCATTCAACTAGTAACTTTTTCTGCAGGTCCAGGAAAGCTTCCTGGAGGAGGTGGCGACTAAGCTGTGCCCTAACTGACGTATAGGAGTTGGCCAGACGAAGCGGGTGGGTGTTCCCGGCAGGGGTGGGATTTGGCAAAGGCCAAGTGGCTTGAATGGAGTCACTGGGTTTAAAAAATTTGGAACAATTAAGTAGAGGGTTAGGGGTTCAATGCCTCGACGCCTGAGTCCTATTCCTGACTTGCTTCGGGATCCCGGACATGACCTCCCTCTCTTTGGGCCTCTCATTGCTTCATTTTTCCCTCAGGAAAATGGGCACGAGCTCCCTTATTCCTCCTGGATTTCCCACAGACTATGAGAAGCCGCCGAACGGATGATGAGTGACAGTTCGTTTGAGCCAATCGCTGGAGCCTAAAGCCCTGCCTTCTTTTCTCGTGGGCCAATCGCCATGTTCTCCTTGAGGCCGGCCGCTTGGCGGAGGCTGGCCAAAGGCCTCGTGACGTCACAGATTTGATAAACCAATAGCAGCTATGAAGAGGCGGGTCATTTTGGTGATAGACAGCTCTATTTCAAGATGTCCGCTTAGCGCGGGGTCCGCCGGGAAGCTTTGAGGCGGTGCTGGGGGAGTAGGGGCGGGAACTCCCGGTAGATTTTGCCCAATCATCAGTCGTACTTCTTGCGACAGACAGGCAGTCTTTCCCATCCCGGTCGACTTATGGGGGCGGGGTTCGGCACGCCAGACTGGGCGGGCCCCTCGACTTTGATGGGCGTCTTCTTCACCCAATTGCTAAACGGTATCCCCAGACGGGTCGCCTCCATTGCCAATGAGATCTCCAGGCGGGGTCGCGGTGGGCGGGCCTTGGACCCTCCGGTATAAGGCGGTCCCGGGGGAGTGCGGAGAAGGGGGGGGTCTCGGCGGCCGGAGG